ACCAGAATACTGCTGACACAAGTGTTATACTTTTGAATTCTTGGCCTTCATCGGTAAAGAATTTCTTGATACTATTGTCATACAAACTTTTGAATGCCAACTTCGTTTCTGCATCGGCAATGGACACGACGCTGAAGGAGCATAGGTACTCATAAATAGAATCAGAGGTCGTTGGGACTTCAAAGCGAAACAAACTCGCGTCACCCTCGAATTTGTGAAACTTTCCAGATTCTTTTACTTTGGGCATATATTGATTTTTAAAGGACTCTGACGCTAAGAAATGTACATCTCTCTGCTGATAAAGATGTTGTAAGAATGCAGCAACATCGGATATCCAAGGGCACGTATAATCAGGGGCGTACCAAAATATGCCAAACTTTCCGCCAGGTACAAGAACACGATGAATCTCGTCAAAACTCTCTTTGGAGTCTGCAAACCAGTGCAATGCATTTGCAACAACGACAGCATTGACACTTTCATCGGGAAGATCTGAAGGGAAAGAATGGTTGAATGGTAGTCTTATGATGGGTGTTCTTTCTTGAATTCAAGGATTAGAATTTTAATCACAGCGGGTATCAATTTAACAAATAGATCTCATTTTTCCGTGCGTGTGTACTCTAATAGATACACAGATGACGTCAAAATGTAGTGAAAACAAAAAAGTACGCACGAGACGCAGTCGAGTGCGTGACTGTTGTTCTCACTACATTTTGACGTCATCTGTGTATCTATTAGAGTACACACGCACGGAAAAATGAGATCTATCTGTTTTATACAACAAACAATTAGTTTTGACGTAATCCGTGTATCTATACTTTGATAACACACAAAAGCCAACCAATCAAAACGTCTGATTTTACTGAAAAGTTGTATAAATTATCATATTAGATAGGGATCACTCCATTTTGGGAGGATCAGAGATCAAATTCAAAACAACTTTAATGGAATGAAATAAAAAAAGATTCATATATTGTATGAAGTCATTTCGACTGTACTTGACTAGTCTTATATGTCGAAAATATCTGGTTTCATTTACACCACGTAGCCTAATCAAAAGTTGTAGTGTTTACACGAAGCTTCGCCATATTGTCTACAATTCATGGTCTCGGTCGTGAAACTGTGAATATACATTGCTCTATTATTGTCTGCCATTATTAGTGTGGGCCAAAACCAAACTTACCAATTGCTTGAGCGGGAAATTGCTTGCATTCGATTTCAGGCAGGGAATTTCTGAAATTTTCCACCATGTTCTCGCTAGGATCACTTGCTATGATCTTGGTTTTGGATCCTTTAAGAACATCTGCCATGACCTTGGTGAACATTCC